ATAAGTAGAACCTTGAGTTTTATTTCGATAGTTTTTATCTGTATATATTTGAAATTGTCCCCCGTGCCCCTGAAACCGGGGATTGAACTCAGGCCCTTGCCACTTGCCAGGCAAGCACTTATTCTATTGAACCATCTCCCCAGCCCCTTATATTTGAAATATTTTCATTAAAACTATTCATTCAATCCCCAGTGCCAAAAAAGAAAAAAAAAAAAGCTATTCAGAAGTGGTATGGTGGTGCACACCTGTAACCCCAGCATTCAGGAGGGTAAGGCAGGAGGACTACCATGAGTTCCAGGCCAGCCTGGGTATATAATGAATTCAAGGCTAGTATGAACTACATAACAAGGCCTTGTTTTGGAAAAGAAAAAAAAAAAAAAAAACAGGGCTGGGGAGATAATAGCAGCCTAAGCATCTGTCCGGCAAGCACAAAGACCTGGGTTTGATCCCGTACCACATTCCATGCTGGCCCTGGGACTAGGCATGATGGCGCATGCCTGTAATCCCAGCGCTGTGGAGACTAAGATAGGAGGACTGCTATGAGTCAGAGATGCACAGCAAGACCCTCTACCAAATAAATAAAAAACAAACAAAAATTATAATACTGAGTCAATAGTAACAAATACATCATGGTATTGGCACAAAAACAGACATGTAAACCAATGGAATAGAAGAGAGAATCCAGAAACAAAGATGCAACCACAGTCATTTGTTGCTAAAGGGGCACAAAACATACACTGTTGACAAGACAGCCTCTTTAACAGATGGTGCTGGTAAAACTGGATACTCATATGTAGAACACTGAAACTAGATCCCTATCTTTCCTCCTGCACAAAAGTCAGTTCAAAATAAATCAAAAGATCTATCTACAAGACCTGAAACTGAATATGCTGTGGTATAAGAGGAAATGAAGTCATAATACCAAGTGAAGACTTCCTGAATAGAACTCCCATAACAGAGGAAGTAATAGCAAGAACCAACAAACTAAACTACATCAAATTAAAAAGCTTTAATTCCAAAAGGAAAACAACCAACAAAGTGAAGAGACACACTTACAAAATGGGAGAAAATCTTTACCAGCTACTCTTCCATCAGAGGATTGATATCTAGAATATAGAACAAATCAAAAAACACAAAGAAAACTAATAGTCCTATCAATAAATAAGCAATGCTGGGTGTGGTAACACATGCCTGTAATCTCAGCATTCAGGAAGCTAAAGCAGGAGGACAATAGCAAGTTCTAGGCCAGCCTGAACTACATACATATGGGGACCCTGTCACAAAAATATCTAAATAAATAAATAAGTAAATGAATTGAGCAGATAATTCTCAAAAGAAGTACAAAATCACAATACCGGGCTGAGGAGATAGCTCAGTGGAATAAGTGCTTGCCTGGTAAATGCAAAGTTCCGAGTTTGATCCCTGGTACCACCACCAAAAGGAAAAAAAAAAAAAAAATCACAATACCAAGAAATGGAACCAGTCTAGTGTCCATCAGCAAACAAATGGATAAAGGAACTATGGAGTATATACACAATGGAATTCAGCCATAAATAACAAAATTACATCATGTGCTGGAAAACTGAAGGAACTCAAAATCATGTTAAACAAAATAAGCAGATCTGAAAGACAAATATCACATTTTTTTCTTAGTATGTTCTTAAATTTCTTTTTAACCTTTCATTTATTTATTTGGTACAGGGTCTCACTATGCAGCTCAGACTGGTAGTGATCCTCCTGTCTGGGCCTCCCCAGCACCAGAATTACAGGCGTGTGCCACCATGCCTGGTTACTGGGGCTGGTACTGCACATGGTAGTAGGGATCAAAACTAGGTCCTTGCACTTGCCAGGCAGGTGCTTAGACCACTGAGCTATTTCCCCAGCCCTTTCTTAGTATGTTGAATCAAAAAAGAAGTGGCACAAGGGGCCAGCGAGACAGCTCAGCGGGCTAGCTCAGCGGGCTAAAGCGCCTGCTTAGGCAAACACAGGAACCATCAAGCCCCAGCACCACATGCCACACCAGCCCGGGCCCCAGGGCGGGCTGAGGCAGCCACATGCAAAAGAAAAAAAAAGGGTGGCACAAAAGTAGAAAGTCTACTATCAGATAAGCAGAGAAGAATGGAGAACAGGAAGAAGTGTAAGGGAAAGTAAAAGATAAATATGATTAAAATGTTATATGTGCATATGAAATACCACATTAGAACACAATATTTTGAAAAATTAAAGTGTACCAATAAAAACATATTTTAAAAAAAGAAGTCAAGCTACAAATGAGAAAAGAAAAGTGGAACACAAAATCAACAAGGGACTATTATCTAGAATAACTGAAGAACTCCATCAAATCAAAACAAAACAAAACAAAAAAAAGTTCTTCTAAAATAATGGACAAGGGCTGGGGAGATGGCTCAGTAGAATAAGTGCTTCCTTGGCAAGCACAAGGGTCTGAGTTCAATCCCCAGTTCTGCCAAAAATAAATAAATAAATAAATAAATAAATAAATAAATAAATAAATAAAATAATGGACAAAAGACAGTAAAAGGCATTTCAGCCAGGGGTGGTGGCGCAAGCCTCTAATTCTAGCACTCCAGAGGCTGAGGCAGGAAGGCTGCTACCAATTTGAGGCCAGCCTGGGCTACAAAGTGAGTTCAAGGGCAGCCTGAACTACACAGTAAGTCCCTGTCCCAAAAAGGACCCAAAACAGGTCGTTTCACAGAAGAAACATATATAGACAAAAAAAAAACCATAAATACATGCTTAGTAATCAAAAAAATGCAAATCATGACAATCATGAGGTATCATTTCTTAAAAATCTTAAAAAGCTGGGAAGAAAGCTCAGCAGACTAAGCGCCTGCTTAGGCAAGCATAGGGACCAGGGTTCCATCCCTGGCACCACAGGCCATGCTGGTACTGCCCCCAGGCACACTGAGCAGGCCATTGAGACCAGGCATGGTAGCACATGCCTGTAATCCCAGTGCTGGGGAGGCTGAAACAGGAGGATCACTAGAGTTTAAGCTGCACAGTGACACTACCAAATACATTAATTAAAAAAAAAAAAATTCATAAAAGCCTGAAAATTCTAAAGCTATAAAAAGGATATCACACCCACTGGTATAATTTGGAAAAATAATTTGACATTATCTTTTAAAGCTGAACATACTATACAACTCAACAAATCTATTCCTCAAAATAAGCACAAAGCAGCCCATGCACACAAATAACACATATAAGAAAATTTCAAGCATGGGAGAAGTCAAAACAGTACACTGACACAAGAGACTAGTATACAACATGAAAATAAACTGTGAATACATGCAACATGAATTTGTCTTTAAAATATATTTAATAGGTGAAAAAAAGTAAATCAAGGAATAGTACATACAGTGTGACACCTTTTTATAGTTAGAAAAAATAATTAAAACTAAAGAATACACAGGATGGGGATATAGCTTAGTGCTACACTGCTTGCCTAGTATATGAGAGGCCTGGAATTTGATTTCAGTATCACAAAATAAACAGACAAACAAAGAAAACAATACTTTATGTCTATATATGTGAAAAGAACCTATTTTTTCAGAAGCAAGGAAATAACACAAATAAGGATAGCATCACCAGGCTGGCCAAATAGCTCAGCGGATTAAAGTGCCTGCAAGCAGGTGCAGGGGCCAGGGGTTCAATCCCCAGGCCAGCGGTGCCGGCCCCACCCCCAGGGCATGCTGAGATAGCAATTCAGACTGAGCGTGGTGACACACGCCTGTAATCCCAGCACTTAGGAGGCTGTAAACAGGCAGATCACTATGAGTCCGATCTAGTACTGAGACCCTGAACACCCTGTAGACCCTTCCCTAAAAATACAGAAAGAAAGGAGGAAAAAAAAAAAAAAAGGATTCTGAGATACTCTTATTCCAAACTTCTCTTTATATTCTTATTTTGAAAATTTTATTTTCCCTTATATAATTTTCTATTATACAAATATTATATCTAATTTGAAAACAAAAACACAGTAACTTTACTGAGTTCCTCAATTATGATTTTACTTTGACACATCTATGATTCTATCACTAATCTGGAATCCTAACTACTATAAAGTATAATTTAATAACATTTCACAAATGTATGTATGAACTTGAAATAAGTCCATACAGAGGAAAAAAATGAAGCAGGGAAAATAAATCCAACCAAATTAAACAGCCAACAGAATAGCAAGAATCAGAAACATGAATTGTTGGTTCTTGGAATATTACCATGAACTTCCTTGCTTCCATCCTTTATGATTTATTCTGTTTGATACTATATTTTTTAAATAATTTCAACTTTATTCTCTATGAGCACAATATAGCAAATCACTTCCATTTTAATTTGAGATATATTCAACTAGTTCTCTTTTGTTTATGGCCTAAAAGACAATGTCCTTCATTGAAAAACTTTAAAATAGGTTCCTAGGCACTTAAAAGAGAAAACAAGATGGCTGAGTCCACAATTATTTTATATTATAGAATTTTAAAACTTAGAATTAAAGTTAGCTAGAAAACTATCTCATTCACAACTTAGATATATTTAACTAGAAAGAGTACAACTACATTAAGGTACCTAAAATGTTACCAAACAGGGGGCCTGCCAGTTAGCTCAGTTGTTTATGCACCTGCTCATGCAAACACAGTCAAGCGCAGGATACCATAGTTCAATCCTCCACATGCCTTACTAGACCTGCCCTTAAGGTAGCCTGAGCCAGCCAAAAAAAAAAAAAAAAAAAAAACCCTTCTAAAATTTTACCAAACAGAATGTTTTAAATGTTGTGATTCTTTATATTATTAAAGAACTTAATACATGACATCCCCAGACAACCAATCACTACTTACCAGTCTTAAAAGGGACTTAATACTGAATAATTTCCCTTTTAACTATGATTCTAACTTGATAACCTTAGGCAGTACAGTATGGAAGAAAAGTGACCAAAAGATAGTTATCATTAAAATGAACTAACAAGCCTGTAAGGTACTAGCCTGTCATATGCAGCAATCATAAAGTTGAGGAGAAGGCTGATAGACTGTTCCACACTGATTTGATGAGTAGAAGGAAGGCGCTTATTCAACTGATAGTAGATGGATGAGATGACAGTTTCAAGGCGGGATACACTTATCTCAGTGGTATGGTCCAGTGTATTAAGGCCATTGTCTCGGAAGGCTTCAATCATGTTCCAGATATCAACAAGATGAACTAAAACATGAAGAAAACAGACTGTCAATAATTTTAAAGTACTGTACCACCTTCACAATTAAGACATTTTAATTTATCAACCAGTCTCTAAGATTAAAAAGAAACTCTCAGAGCCAGTGAGATAGCTCAGCAACTAAGCACCTGCCTAGGCAAGCACAGGGACCAGGGTTCAGGGTTCGATACCTGAACATGCCATTCTGGCCCCAACCTCAGGCATGCTGAGCCAGCCACTGAGACTGGGGGTGGTGGCATATGCCTGTAATTCCAGCACTGGGGAGGCTGAAAACAAGAGGGTCACTACAAGTCTGAGCTGCATAGTGAGACCCTGTAGACCCTGTACTAAATATATTTATAAAAGAAAAAAAAAGAATGAAAGAAAGAAAGCAAGGAAGAAAGGAGAGGACATGACCCAACACAACACAACATTCTTGGGGGCTGGGGATTTGGCTCAGTGGTAGAATGCTTCCTAGCAAGCTGGAAGCCCTGGGTTTGGTCCTCGGCACCAAAAACAAAAAATAAACCTCCCCTAAAAAACAATACAATCTGAGGTACAGGAACTCAGGATAAATCCTGAGGGGATTTCACTGACCTTCTCAGACCAAAAAGCTACAACTCTTGTTGCATAGGTCCTGCTTTACCTTGGTC